TCCCCGCTGCCCGCGCCGCACCACCCAGCCCTGCGCCACCTGGTGCCGCACCGCCCGCCATGCACAAGTCACCCTCGCTGCAGTCCCTGCACCCGGTGAGTCCCTGCCCCACACTGGACGCGGGCAGTGAGCAGCTGTGAACCCCAGGGCTGTCAACAGGGCACAGGGTGGAGAGGCAGGTGTGGAGGGAGAGGAACAGCCCCACGTGCGGGTTCGGATCGTGCCCCCTCTCAGGCAGGTGTTTTCTCAACAGGTCTCGCCCCTCAGGCAGCCCCGGCGCACGGCCTCTGTGCAGAGCCTGCAGAGCCTCCTGGCCAAAGCGCCCCGGGCCAGCGCCTACCTGGTGCCCAAGCCAGGGGACGGGTAAGTTGGGGCACGTGGGGTAAGTGGGGCACAGGGGCCTCCTTGGGGGTGGCCCCATGGCAGCTTGGTGCCCCCTGCCAGCAGCAAGGGGGGCCCGGCGCCCCGGCGCTCGCTCAGCCTGGAGGACATCGGAGCCCCTGACCTGCCTCGCGCCGTGGGCCGCGTGATCGAGGTCTTCCCCGACGGCACCAGCCAGCTGGAGCTGCGGCGGCCGCCTGACGGCACCTTCGGCTTTCGTCTCGCCTCCGGCCACGGCCGCCCCGACTCAGGTAGCGGTGCTTTGCCAATCCTGGGTACCCGCACCCTCCTCCTCCAGGGCAGGTCTCATCCCTCCCCAGGAGCTGGGTCTGGGCGAGGGCGCTCAGCTCACCTGGCCTCGCCCTGCAGGTGTCTACGTGCAGGAGATGGCGGACGCCGGCACGGCCAAGCTCTACGCAGGGCTCCTCGCTGTGGGTGATGAGATCCTGCAGGTCAACGGGGCGGCGGTGTCGCGCCTGGCGCCAGCCCAGCTCCACGAGCTGCTGCTCCGTGCGGACACTCTGTCCCTGCGTGTGATGCGCCAGCGCCCGCCCCGACGGTAGCAGCAGGACCACGGTTCCGCAGGAGGCGCCTTGGGGACCGGGGCGCTGCCGCCACAGGGCACCACCATCCCGCTCTGCGTGCCCTCCCACCCGTGCTGCCGGCCCGTCTGTGCCCCAGAGGACTCTTTCTGTGCAATATTTCTCCCCCAGTGCACGTCGGGGGAAGACCTGATATCTCCAGGCCTGGGAGGCAAAGCAGGGGCACAGGATCCGCTGCTGATCGTGTCTGGTGCCCCCAGGAGCTGCCCGGTGTTCCCGAAGGGCTCCTCAATGGTGTCGGAAACCTCTGCCTGTGGGCTGTTGGATTTCGCTTAACTTATTTCAAAATGATCAAAAAAGAAAGGGCAAAAAAAACAAACCATGCTGCCCAATGTCTTCTTGCTGGTGGCTCTGGGCTCTGGGTGGGGAGAGGTTTGTGGATGGCCATGTCAAAGGAGGGACAGTGCCTGGATGAGCGGAAGGAGCCTCCTTCCCTGCTGGGGCGATGCGTGGGCAGGATGGGGCTGGCGGCTGCGCATGTGCTGAGGGCTCGCTGGTTGCTTGTTGGTTTGTCCATGTGTTGCGCCAGCCTGAGGCAAGGCAGGAGGAGCAGGGGTCCCCATGCTCCATTGGCCACAGGGTTTTCCTGCGACGGGACGATGCTGTGGCCACTCAGCAGAGCTGCAGTGAGGGCACAGGTGAGTGGGGGCTGTGGGGCCCATGTGTCTTCCTGGATGGGGGCACTCTTGGCAAAGCTGCTCAGGGCTGTTTGTAGCCTAAGCCGTCCTTCGGGCTCAGCAGGGCTGAAAGGAGCTGTGCTGCCCGCCCTCGAGGGGCTCGGCTTGTGGCGGGTGGAAACTGCGCTGCTCAGCCCCGCCGGGGCTGCCCATGTTTTCCAGGCTGGCGCTGTGGGGCAACCTAGGGGGCCGGCAGCGCCGCCTCCGAGGGCTCTCTCTGCCCCTGTGGAGGGCGCCGCGGGCGGACGCAGGGCCCAGTGCCTGAGGGGCTGCGCACGGGCCTCACCTGCCCCACGTGCGCGGCCGG